AGGACCACATTTTGCTTATCCATTCATGGGTTGGTCCTACCTTTTGGCTATTGTGAATAATTCTCTTATGAACATGGGTATACAAATATCTGTTCAAGTTTTTTCTTATTTTGAGACAGAGTCTCACTTTCTTACCCTCTATAGAGTGCTTTGGTGTCATAGCTCACAGCAACCTCAGACTCTTGGGCACAAGTGATCCTCTTGCCTCAGCGTCTCAAGCAGCTGGGATTACAAGTGCCTGCCACAATGCCCAGCTAGTTTTGTTTGTTTGTTTGTTTTAGTGATGGGGTCTTGCTCTTGCTCAGTCTGGTCTCAAACTCCTGAGCTAAAGGGATCTTCCTGCCTTGGCCTCCAGGAGTGCTAAGATTTCAGGGCTGAGGGCAGCGCCTGTGGCTCAGTGGGTAGGGCACTGGCCCCGTATACCGAGGGTGGCGAGTTCGAACCCAGCCCTGGCCAAACTGCAACAAAAAAAATAGACGGGGCATTGTGGCAGGTGCCTGTAGTCCCAGCTACTCTGGAGGCTGAGGCAGGACAATCACCTAAGCCCAGGAGTTGGAGATTGCTGTGAGCTGTGACGCCAGCCACCTAAGCCCAGGAGTTGGAGGTTGCTATGAGCTGTGGCACTCTACCAAGGGCAATAAAGTGAGACTCTGTCTCTTAAAAAAATAGATTGCAGGTCTGAGCCACTGCACCAGGCCCTAATTCTCGCTTTCGATTATTTTTGGGAACAGTCCCCAAGGTGGAATTGCTGGCTCATATAGTAATTCTATGGTTTTGTTGTTTGGGGGGGGTTTTGAGGGATTACCACACTGTTCCACAGTGACCATGCCACTTCATATTCCAGCTGACATAGTACAAGGGTTCTAGTTTCCTCCCAACCTCCCCAGCGTTTGCTCTATTTCCTTGTTCTGCTTTGTTGTGAATGGCAGCACCCTAGCAAGCAGGTGGGAGGGGTCAGCTCACTGGGGATTTGCCACATTTGGATTTTTTATAGTCACCATTGTCCTTTGGGGCACATCTCAAACTCTGGCTTCAGGTGAGCTTTTTTTTTTCTTTCTTTTTTTTTTTTTTTTGCAGTTTTTGGTCAGGGCTGGGTTTGGTGCCACCTCTGGCATATGGGACAGGCGCCCTAGCCTTTTAGAGCCACAGGAGCCGCCCAGGTGAGCCTCTGAGTAAAAGGGATCGCAAGTGAGTGTCATCCTGCCTGGTCTATTTGGTCTTGTTTTTTTTTATTTATTTTTAGAGATGGATGCGATCTTGCTGTCACCCAGGCAGTGGTGCAGTCATAGCTCACTGTAGCCTCCAACTCCCAGGTGAAAGTGATCCACCTCTCAAGTATCTGGAAGTGTGGGTGCACAACATCGCACCTGGCATATCTGGCTACTTATACTGAGTTCTCTGTATTAAATTATTATTATTATTATATATATATTTTTGCGACAGACCCTCAAGCTGTTGCCCTGAGTAGAGTGCTGTGACATCATAGCTTACAGCAACCTCAAACTCCTGGGCTTAAGCGATTTTCTTGCCTCAGCTTCCCAAGTAGCTGGGACTACAGGCGCCTGTCACAACACCAGCTATTTTTTGGTTGCAGTTGTCGTTGTTTGGCAGGCCTGGGCTGGATTCAAACCTACCAGCTCTAGTGTATGTGGCTGACACCTTAGCCGCTTGTTACAGGCCTGGGCCAACGCACCTGGCCCAGATGCCACTATTTAAAAACTAGTGTAGTGGCTTGGTACCTGTAACTGTCAATTCAGGCACTGGCCACATTCACTGAGGTTGACAGGTTCAAACCCAGCCTGGGCCTACTAAACAATGGCAACTGCAACAACAAAAAATAGCCAGGCATTGTGGTGGGTGCCTGTAGTCCCAGCTACTTGGGAGGCTGAGGCAAGAGAATCACTTAAGCCCAAGAGTTTGAGGTTGCTGTGAGCTGCAACGCCACAGCACTCTATTGAGGGCAACATAATAAGACTCTGTCTCAAAAAAAATAAAAAATAACAAAAAATAAAAACTAGTGTAGTGGGTTGAATAGAGTCCCACCAAAATTCACATTCACTGCAAACCTCAAACTGACCTTATTTGGAAACCAGGTGTTTTGGGTTTTTTTGCAGTTTTTGGCTGGGGCTGGGTTTGAACCCACCACCTCTGGCATGTGGGGCCAGCGCCCTACTCCTTTGAGCCATAGGCACTGCCTTGGAAATCATGTGTTTATTCTGAAATAAATAGTACAGGCCAGGTGGTAGCTCACACCTGTGATCCCAACGCTCTGGGAGGCCGAGGCAGATGGATTGCCTAACCTCACAGGTTCAAGAAGAGCCTGAGCCAGAGCAAGACCCCATCTCTAAAAATAGCCTGGCATTGTGGCAGGTGCCTGTAGTCCCAGCTACTCTGGAGGCTGAGGCAAGAAAATCACTTGAGCCCAAGAGTTTGAGGTTGCTGTGAGCTGTGACACCAAGGCATTCTACCGAGGGCAACATAGTGAGACTGTCTCAAAAAGAAAAAAAAGAAAGAAAAAGGATAAAATAAAACAAACAGTTCAAAATAAACCTTCTGCTCCTTGAGGGAAGCAGGATTTTTTTTTTTTTTTGAGACAGAGTCTCACTTTGTTGCCCCGGTAGAGTACCGTGGCATCGCAGGTCACAGCAACCACAAGTAGCTTTTTTAGAGATGGGTGTGTGTGTGGGGTGTGTGTCTGGCTCTAGCTCAGGCTGGTCTCGAACCTATGACCTTAGGCGATCCACACACTTCAGCCTCCCAGAGTGCTGGGATTATAGGTATGAGCCACTGCACCTGGCCTAGGATTTTCATTTATTTCATTTGCTAGAGTCCCACATGCCTAAGATAAGGCCTGACACAGTAAGTGTTCAATAAATGTTTGTTGAATGAATGTATAAGCAGGGCATTTGGCAAAACCCCAGCTCAGAGAAGGGCCCCAGCAGAGCACAGAATCACCACACAGCTCCCACCAAGAATTGTGGCACCTGCTTAGATGCCACAGCCTGGGAAAATGCTCCCTGCCTTCCCCCAGGGAGCCTGACCCAGGAACAATTGAGAAAATTAAAAAGTGTGTCAAATTCAGCCAACTGGTTCTTTTAAAAATTTAATTGATCACAGTCAAGACATTCAGGCTATAAAAACCTTCTGTACAGTGGTTTATAAAGTGATTCCCATCCCCTAAAAGCCACCCATACATACAACACAGATATCATTACATCATTCCCCTGAAATGCACAACATAGTCCAGTGAGTGCAAATGATCTTTGTACGCAAAGACGGGACATCTCAGGGACACTAACCCCTAATGCAGTCACTGAGCAAAAACAGCAACCAGGGTTTGCACAAATAAATAGATTTTATATATATACACACACATAAGTGATAACAGTTCCAACAAATATACGAAGTGCCAACATGGGCTCGGCGCCTGTGGCTCAAGCGGCTAAGGCGCCAGCCACATACACCTAAGGTGGCAGATTCGAATCCCCTGCCTGGGCCCGCCAAACTACAATGATGGCTGCAACCAAAAAATGGCCAGGCGTTGTGGCGGGCGCCTGTGGTCCCAGCTACTTGGGAGGCTGAGGCAGGAGACTCGCTTGAGCCCAGGAGTTGGAGGTTGCTGTGAGCGTGATGCCATGGCACTCTACCCATGGGGACAGCTTGAGGCTCCGTCTCAAAAAAAAAAAAAAAACAAAACAAAGTGCCAACATGATAGAAAGCCCCACTGTCATCTATATAGAGACTTGATTTACATGCTTCAGAAAGAGAAAGCCTGCTTCCCACGTGGTGGGGCATAGTGTTTCATCCTTATGTAGTGAACCATCACCAGTCCCATCCAACATCTACGTGCAGGAATCTCAGAGAGGCTGCCACTGCTTCTTGGTCATTTATGCAACCATCACTCTTGTGGCGATTTCAGAAAGAAGTCTTGTTTTGGAAGTCCCATTGAATGAGCTGCTCACTGGCAAGATGGGGGAGATGAATGGCTAAGAGGCATTTGAATAGAAGTGGAAACACTAGCTGGGCAGACATAAAGAAACCAAATGACAGGTCTAGGTAATCTACAGCCATGGCTTTGACCTAATTCCCTTCTTCCATGAGCATTGATTGACCCTGCTATGTTCATCCAACACAGGCTTTCTCTAGCTTGGGATCCTATCCCAGCCCATACAACAGGAAACAGTACAAAGTAATAACATAAATGCCAAACTGACACAATTACACAAGGTTCAACCCTGAACTTGATAAAGTGCAAGGAGCCAAAAGGAACACAAGGGTCTGGGGTGGGAGTGGCGTGAGGCTGGGGCCCAGATGGCTACACGCTGGATAAAAGAGGCTTTTAGAGGGTGCAGGCTGCGTGTCCTCTCACACAAGGTAAAATACTGGGCATCTCAGGCACTTAATAAATATTAAGGGTGACTGGTGGTGGCTGAGGCTCTCCTCTGGGCACTGGAGCACTTTTGGCAAATGAATTGGTCTCAGTTGGTGCCTATGAGGAACACTGTAAGTTCCTTTCTTGGCTTAAGAAGGGCACAGACCCGGCCAGAAAGACACTGAGTGGTTCCTGGTTGGGGGTGACAGGACAGAGGCTAACGCAGGCTAAAAAGCAAGGCTCACAGGAAGAGGTAAACACGTGACTCCTGAGTTTGGGGATTCGGCCTGGAGACTGTCAGACACAGCAGTGCCCAGGGCCTGGCTTCTCTCTTGGCCTGACCGCCCCGTCCTTTTGTCCTCCATTGGAGGACTGCTGGCGCAGAGAAGCTAAAATCTTCCTTGGAGAGAAACCAAGATGACACCCAGCTCCCTGGGCTCTCCCTTCTCCGTCATACAGAAAGAAACCAAAACCCATTTCATGGGTGCTTTCAGAAGCCTATGGGGCCTCCCAGATGAATAAATATATAAAACAAAGCTCTGGTCAACAGGCCTTGGGACTTCGGCTGCCAGCAGTGCCTTGGTCTTTTCTTTCCTTGAATGAAACAGAAGGCCACCATCATGGGATCTTAGGAAGGGTTCTAGACAGTCTGCGCAGGGTCTGGGGAGAAAGTGTTTTTCCTGCTCCTGAGTGGCAGCAGGTTCCAGAGAGGGAAAGTAGTTGAGGCCAATGTTCATGCCACATCATCCTCCAAGCTGACCATCTGTCTCTGTCAACAAAATGGTAAATGCCGGAAATGATCAGTCCCATATTCAGGAAACATCTGTTACCCTCCTAAACCAGAGAGCTGCCGCCAGTCTGGCACCCAGGTTGCCACCCTCACCACCACAGTCTGTTCCTCCATGGCCATCAGAGGGTGCCTCTGAGCTCCTAAGTCAGTCACTGCCCTCCTCTGCTCAAGAACCTTCCATAGCACCAACTCAGGGTAAAAGTCAAACTCCTCATCAGTAGCTCCCAAGGCCCTGCCCTGAACCTGAAAAAAAAACACAGGACCACAGGGC